GTGTGCCACCATGCCGGGCTGTTCAAATCTAAAACAAAGGGCTGGACTACAGGGTCTCTAAGGTCTCTTTCTCCAGTAGGAGTGAGACGGCTCTGAGGTGAGCAGACAAGGGACAGGCAGGCAGGGCAGGCAGGTGCCGGGGAGGGCAGAGGTCCAGCCGGGGGCCAAGCGAGCGGGGGCCGCAGTGTGCAGGGAGGAAGAGACAGCAAGGCTGAAAATGAGAGTGCAGTGAGAAAAACCGCTGTCCCCACTCACTGAACACCTGTCAGGTGCCGATAGCACTGCATCTGCATTACTGACACCGACTGCTCTTAATTCTCACGGTACCTGCAGAGCAGATACCGTCACCCTCACCCTGCAGCTTGAAAGCAAGGCCGGCGAGGATTACGCGACTTACTGAAGCTCACACTGCTGCTCGGGGCAGAGTTGGAATTCAGTCTCTGTCCTCCAAAACCTAAGAGCCAGGTTTCAGGCATCTTAAACTGGAGCACTTTCTCAAACTGGAGGAGCCCCGAGTGAACCGGTCCCAGGAAAGTGTCCAGGGAGCATGGGGTAGGGAGCTGGACTCGGGGAGGAGAGGAAGACTCTCCAGGACACTGTGAAGGCACAATGGCCAGCTCTGACCACTCATGGGGTTGACCGTGGCTGCAAAACCCTGTTCGTGTCACGGAACAGGCGATGGGGAGCTGTCGGGTTTGCGGGGAAGTGGCGCTGCGGGTCTCAGACGGGCAGCACGTGAAGCGGACACGGCCAGGCACAACACACAGGCCTCGGCTGGCACAGCAGAGAGGGGCCGAGGATCCGCCCTGGACAGGTGTGTTGAGAGGGCCAAGAGTCCAGAGGAGTGGACGCAGCAGGACCTGTGTGTGCGGTTGGTCTCGCCCGAGTCACAGACAGATCAGGTTAAGAACGCGAGATGAATGGATAAAAAAGTGTGATGTTTACACACAGTGGAGTACTACTCAGCCATAAAGAAAAATGAAGTCATTTGAAGGCAAATGGATGCACTCTGAGACCATGACGTGAAACAGACAGACACACAAGCTTCAATGTCACATGGTTTCTCGTATGAGAAACCCAAAGTATACATAAAGAGCAGAGTAGGAAGTGGAATGATACAGTGACCCTCTCTCAAATGGGAGGGGACCAAGAGGTGAAGAGAGGGGAGGGGAGGGAGGACAAGAGGATGATAAAGGACGAAGCGGGGTTATGCACGTGTCCTGACCCCACACAGAGAACGCAGACATCACGTAGTACAAAGTGTGCTGATAAAGGCAAGAGGAACATGAGCCGCAGCATCAACAGTGACGTAAAAACACTGGGGGGTCTGGGAGCCGCTGACCTTGGGAGAACAATCTCAGCAGAGTGGCAGAGCAGGAGCCAGGCAGGACGAGGGTCTGCGTGACCAAGAGCGGTCAGTGTGTGAGTCAGGCACAGACCCGGCCGCAGTGGAAGGAGGGTGCTCCAGGCCAGCAAGGACGAGGGTGAGTTTGGAGGCCGAGGCGGAAAAGCCACGGGAGAGCAGAATAAGAGTGGGCGGGCGGAGTGCGCAGGGTGCTAGCCAAGGACGGCACATCTCCAGGTGGCAAAGGAGCTTTTGCGGTGGAGCTGGCGGCACATGCTTGGAAGGCCAGGGCTCTGGGAGCTAAGGCAGGAGGACCGGAAGCTGGAGCCCATCCTTGGCAATTTAGAGACTTAGATTTAATGAGGACCCTATGGCTCAGTCCCCAGCACCCTCCACCCCACCTACCCTCCTACACACACACAAAGAGCTGCTGCAGCTTTTAGCTCTCAGGCAGGCAGAAGGTGGGGTCACCTCCCCAGAGCTGGGGAGAAAGCCTGGAGTCCGGCCACCAGGGAAACATCAAACAATAGCTGAGGGCAGTGGAAACTCTTCTACCAGAGAAGGGTCCCGAGCCACTCAGAGGAGCTGTTCTGATCAGTGGCTGTGCAAGCTTCGAGGGTCTCGCTGGGTCTGCAGGCAGCTCTGCTTAAGGGTGTGGGCTCTGGACCAAGAGGCCCTGGGCTGGGGCGGGGTGGGACAGATAACTGGCCGGCTCTGGAGTTTCTGTCTTTGCTACCCCGAACCTCTGACCCCTGGGGCACTGTTACGGATTTAGCGGAGGCAGCAAGTGATGGGAAAAGTGACTAGTGTCCCTGACCGCGGCTGGGCGGTGCCTGTGAGTGGAGCTGGGCAGGGGGCCGCTGTGAGTTACTAAAGCTCCTGTGTCCACATCTCAGAGGGACCACAGGGAATTTAAGAACCAGGGTCTGGGAAGCCCGATGGGCACCCCGCACCCCGCACAGCTCACGGGACTCCCACTGGGTACAGCAGGAAGCTGCCAAGGACGGCTGACTGCCTGGTGCTATTCCCCGTGCCCCTCCCCTTTTCCTCCCCATCTCCCCTTTATGCTTGGCCCCACAAGCTGGCCACACACATCTCTGTCCCCCACAGTCCCCACATACATTGCTACCTGGGTGCTACTGTCGCCCCCATCTTTGTGGAAGGACCGGGTTCCGCTCCCCGCCTCCCTCCCCAGCAGGCTTCCTCCACAGGGTGCTCTTCTCTTTCCCACATCGGAGGACAACTCGCCCTTCCCAGGGGGCGCCTGTGCCCAGCAAGGGGCTCCCAGGCTCCCAAAGACTCCCCCATCCGGAGGGGTGTGGGAATGGCAGAGGGAGCTGGGGCTGCAGGCTCTGGGCTCCATCTTCCCAAGCAGATCCCAGCGCTATTACTTACTGTCTGGGAACCCCTCGGCAGTTTCTTATTCCTTCATCTATAAAGCGAGATACTGCTATCCTGCACTTCCTAGGACTTGTAGTGAAGCTTCAGCAGGTGCTACATGGGAATGATTAGTACGACGGTTGGCCCAGTAATGCGCATGAGCATCATTGCTCCTGTGGTCACCCCTAAGCCTGGCTGCTTTCAACTGAGGGGCTGAGCTTGGTGCAGGCAAGAGCTCTCCTCTCAGTATGCCCTGGCTTGGTCAATGCAGGGGCTACCGAGACCCTGGAAAGAACGCTGGCTATACAGGAAGCAGCCAGAGCCATGCCAAGGCGAGGTTATATCAGACAGACTGGAGGAGACAGTCTGGGGTTTGCAAGAAGGAGCCACAGAGGATGCAAGCAAAGGCAGGGCGGCGGCAGGTCCAGAGCAAAGGGTGACGGAGCAGATGCGGATGGAGAGGTCAGGCCCCCTCGGTTACGTCCCAGTAGGCCTCCCTCACTGCCTCGGGGCCGCAGCAGGCTCATGGCTCTGAGTCGGAAGGGAAACTGAGTCTCCCGGAGAGGAGGCGCTCAACCTCCCAAGCAAGCCCGGGACCCCGACTCCCCTTCCACTCCCGCCTCCTCCGCTCCCCCTTCCCTGTGCCACTGCCTCCTCTGTGC